CAGCGGCGGCCTCCGCGGATTGGCGCGCGGGCGGGCGTGTGCGTGCCGCCCGGGCTGCACCGAAGCCCCTCCGTCTTGGGGTTGTGCCCCCTCCCCCTGTTCGAAACGACCACCCCTCCATTGTCCCTGCGTTGCAGATGCTGCATCTGGGGCTGCTGCCAGCCCCAGTCCCGGATGCCCAGGCCCAAAGAAAGGGAGCCAAAGGCGCGTTCCCTGCTCGGGCGCACGCACCGACCGCCGCCCTCAACCGCACACTGCAGCATTTCGCGCTCAGGCGCCGCGCCCCTCCCAGCTTTCCCTCATTTGCATATCCCACGGTTGTGGCCAATCAGTGCTCGCCTCTCTCGAAGCGGATGGCTTTTGCCTGAGAGGAAAGGGAGTGGCTGGCGGCGCATGCGCCGCGGTGGCTGACTTGAACCGAGGCTTTTATTGCTGTAGTTTATTTCCACCCCCTTCCCTCCTGTTCTCTCTCTCCCTCTCTCTTTCTTTTTTTCCGCCCTAGCTGGGGCTGTGTTGGAGGAGAGGAAGAAAGAGCAACAGAGGATTGTATTTGTCCCTTACGTTCCTGAAATTGCTACCAGCAAGACCAGCTAAACGGTTGTACCTTCTTCAGTTCTGCAAAAAGTACCAAGTCCCCTTCCCAGCAATTTTTGCTTTAAAGCTGCCCCTTTGAAATTATTTTTTTTCCAGGAGAGAGATGTCTTATCAGGGGAAGAAAAATATTCCACGCATCACGGTGAGTTGGGTACTCGGGAAATGTGCGTTTGGCTAGCAACCTTTTGTGGCACTGAACATCTAAGGAATTTTTAAAAGAGGGAGATGGAGAGGGACCTAACTTTTTAAAAAATTTTTTTCAGTTGCTAATGAAGGCGATAGTGGGGTGATGGTGGTGGGAGATGCAATAATAAAGAATTATAAGGCACGTAGTTTGCAAGGCATTCAATTAGGAGCGTGAGTACGTGGAGATAGCTTTAGGTAGCGCGCCAGATCCGCTGTATCCTTTTATTGTCAGCCCGAGATGCTGCAGTGCTGGCCTGCGGGGTGTAAGCAAATGGATGCCAGATTGAATATGCATGGCTGAAGCTCGATATTGTTCTCCGGGCTGCGTGCTGCGAGGCTGGACTCAGGAGCTGCGATGGGGAGCTGGGGAAATGGATCCTCCCTCCCGGTGTCTTCCGCCCCCCCCATAAAGGGCTTTCTGGATCCTTCCTCCGGCTCCTTGGAAGAAGGGATGGGTTTCAGCCCGAAGTCGTAATGACAGCAGAGGGATGCTGAAAAGGGCAGGGTGTAGCGGAATGATGGGGAAACGGGAAGGGAAATCTGGCACCGTGATGCGCAGGAGAGGAGGGCGGGGGCCCGGGCCAAGGCTTTTTGTTGACTGGGAACAGGTTTTGGGTAGTTCTCTTGTTTTTTTTTTTTTTCCCCCACCCTCTGGTTTGAGGCTGGGGCCCTGGCGGGGCTCAGGGCTCGCTTTCCTGCGTCTTTTCTGCTTCTTCCGCCACCAGGGAGGCGTCCGTGTTGGCGCATACAAAGCGGGCTGGGAGGGTGGGCGCTGGGGACAGCGGCGAGCCGGGCTCAGAGAGGTAATGGCGCTGCGCGACGCGCCGAGCAGATGGCCCGGCCGGCCCCAGGCAGACAAAGATCACAGCGGCCCGAGGTGTGGGCGCTGTTCTGGGGCCTGGAATTGTTGGTTTGTACATCACCGGAAAACCTCCGTGCCTTGAATTCGCGATGCTTCAGGGATGAGCACCGGTTCTTGATCCCACTCTCTCTCCATCTTTTCCTGGAAAAATCTCCCCAGTCCTGATGTCTGCATCCTGGAATGGAATCCCATGGAGGGGGAAAGCCAGGGAAATTCATTATTATATAATGCTGTGCAATCGCAGTTGGCCAGCTGATTCCCGGGTAGAACCTAAGGCCGACGCAGACACCAAAGAATCAAATAGCCAAAAGGTGCTATAGGGCTGGATTTGGTGTGTGTTTCGCCCTAGTTGTCCCTGTGGCCCCGGGCACCCCTGCTTCCTCTCCGTGCACAAGGACACACCCATCCGCAGGAGAGAAGTGGGAACAAATGCGCAGGGGAGGGATCCTGCGCTTGAGATTCTCTATGATGCGCTGGGTGGTTCAGGAAGGTGGGTTGAAGGCAAAGACCCCAGATCCCAGAGAATAGCGCATGGAGCACCCAACGGTCTATGTTCCTGCTGGAGGAAGGAGTCTGGGGAGCTAGGGAGTGGGGGTGGGGAGCAGATTTACAGCAAGCCCCTGATAATTTGTTGTCTTCTTGAACAAATGAGGCAGTTTCGTTTCTCATTGACGTTGTGGGGAGGAAAAAAAAATAGGAAAACAATCAAGACCGATTTTTAAAAGTGCGCCCCCTCCACCCTTGAAAAATTCTGGTTGCATTATCCTAGGACCCATAGCATGTTTTTCCTCCCTCCATTTCCATGGCCAGTCTCTTATGTAAGAAGCCTTCTAGAAGGTACTGGAATGAACAGGGCTGTGATATTTCGCTTTTTTCTTGACATGATGTTGGCTGGGGGATTCGTGGTAATGGCAGGAACAGGTAGGTCAGTGGCTAAGGGGCAGGTGGTGAAGGGCAGGGTTTCTCCTGGTCTCCCAGGCAATGGAAGCTCTAGATCTGGGAGAGGAGGGATTATTATAGGCTCGACATCTCCCAGCCTCAGTTTCCCTGTCAAATGAGAATAGAATCTTGTTCCATCATGTTCTGAGGCTGCAACAGCCTGATGTACCTGACAGGATTTTGTAGAGGTATTGACATTGATCATGATCAGTTTTAGGAATTGTCCACTGTTTCCATTTGACTTCCCAGTATCTATGTCAGGATGAAAAAGCCCCTGCAATGTTCAAAATGAAAATCATTTTGATTTTTAGTATGTCAGAGAAACAAATATGTGGAATGACATGTACATTTTTTTTCTCTTTAGTAGCTTATAGATGTATAAAAGATTTTCTGTAATTTCTTTTTCTTGGTAGCTGATAAATGTAGATGGCACTTGCTGTGAGTATTGTTTTTAGCTTAGTTTGGGTTAACACTTGTCAAGATGAATGCTGTCATTTGAGATGTGTTGCTTATTAAAGGGGTAATATATGGCTCAGCTTGTAAAGCTTGAATCCGGATTGAAATAAAATAGGTGCTTATTCACTGAATACACCACCTTCACATTCCATTTCTTCAACAGGATTTGGGATAGCCATGAGGCATAATGTGGCATTTTTGTTACATTCCTGGCCTTCCCATGCCACACAGCCTTTATTTTTTTGCCCAAATATCACCAGTTAAAATATAAGTGCATTAGGAATCTATTGTGATGTTAGATTTTAAAATTTGCCATCTCATCTACTGTATCATAAAACTTTGCCTTTTTCTTAACTACATAGTGAAAATGGTGTAATTTCCATAGTCCCTTCCCTCCCTGCTATGCTTGCTGTGATTTGCCTCAAAAATAAATGTAAATATAGAAGGACATTCTGAATTGAAATCTTGTTGTGGCTGGACCAAATGTGTTTGTATAGGGTATCCCCTGACAACAGACTTTTGGTCACTCTTCCCTGACACAGACCTTGCCAAGACTTTCCTACATGTGGGTGTGTTTCTCCTCCCCCCCCCCCCTTTTTTTTTTTTTTTTTTTAAATGAGGTTTAGCCAAAAGTCATTCAAAAGTATTGTCTTCTTTATTTGGAATGTTTTCACTGCTCTTTAATCCCTCCCCCCCCATTTTCTTTTGCTTTCAGGTTTAAGGTCTAATTGAAAGAAATAGTTGATTTTTGTAGAATAAGCTTTGCCAGTATGTTCTGCCTCATTGGATGATAAATTGTTTGCTCAGTAGGTTCCCCTTTGTCACCAGAGCTTTCAAAAACTGGCTCATTGGAACATCATTTCTGAATAGTACAAATGTGTCCTGCATTCATTTAACTTAGCACCTGTGTTCCTCATAGGTCGGTTATGTGTTGTGACTTTACTACCTTTTTGTTTCAGAGTGATCGTCTTCTGATCAAAGGAGGTAAAATTGTTAATGATGATCAGTCGTTCTATGCAGACATATACATGGAAGATGGGTTGATCAAGTAAGTGTAACTCATTATTATGTATATAATGTATTTATCTACCTCCCATCCATCCCAAGCTTTGGTACCCCTTCACACATGAAGTGTTAAATTTAGTGACTCAAAGGGTGACCAACTTAGTATCTGTTTTAAGTTCCATTTTGATTGGTGGTAATTAATGAATTTGAGAATTCATATTTGCAGATTTCAAAGTTGTGCTCCCCCGCCCCCACCATTATGCCTTTGGTAATGTCCTATTTTTTTAATGGAGGTGACAAAATATCTTCTGTTGTCAGCTCAGATACTTGCTTTAGGGTATGTTGACGGTGTGAAAGGTTTCCTAGAATTTAGTTGCTTGGAACGGACCATCAAAGGGCACAGATGCCAAGTACAGCCTCTCATCAGGATAACCACATCTGCTCCCTCAATCAGGAATCCAAGTTAGAGGCGCTACAGAAGGATACCAAGTTAATTACCAAGTGCCACAGACAAATTACTCCCTAATCCTGGGGGGAATTTTAGTTTTTATTCTCTTAAGTGGAAACTGTCACGAATAAGGCTGCCCTTTGTATGTTGTGTATTATGTCATGCAGGAGAACAACAGATCGGTTGTGAGTCTGGGTGTTTCTGGACTCTGGCGGGTTAAATGAGCAGAGTGCATACCAGTGTCCTCATGCCCTTCCTACTGGGACAGCTCCCAGGCTCTGGAGAAATAGCACATCTGCTTAACGACAAACACTGCACCCAGTGACATCTTTTAAATAAGCAGCCTTCATCAGGCACTAGCAGCAGGGAGCCGGAGGAGTGGAAACCTGGATGTGCCCGCTGCCTGGAAGCTCACACCCTGATTTATGAACCGAAAATAGGGTTGAGCAGTTCCACATTTAATGTTTTCTCCATGTGTGTTTCTTGTGACAGTCTCAGCTCTGGGCTCTCAAATGCTGTGACTTTCTTGTTCCATCTCCGCTCCCAATTATAAGGCAGCATGATTTGGCCTGGCAGAGGGACAGTGGCCTGGAAGGGAGGAGGCCTGAGTGCTATTTTTACTCATCACTCATTTGTCTCAGAACTTTAATCAACCCCTCTTTGATTAATTTTTAAGACAGTAGAAAGATAGAGTAAAAATATTTTCTTAAACATTGGAAACAAATCATGTCCCCAACATGATGAGTATTCGTTTGTCTGCCTTTATTATCTGAACGGCCAAGCACCTGTTTCCACATTTAAAGATTGCAGCCGTTATAGTGTTCACTTTTTTCCCCCTTTGGTTCCATCTCCGCCCTCCCACCTCTGTTTTCTCTCTATTGAAAAGGATATGGTAAAAATAAATGTTTGGAAAATGCACTCAGGTCTGAAGCAAATTGCTATTGGATAATTAGCTCAATGGTGTGTGTTACAAGAAGGTCAGATGACATATAAATACCTTGGGGCCTTGTTACCATTTGACCTTATTGGTTTCTGGTAGCTAATTTGCGAATGGGGCCTCTGGTGCCTTATGTAAATTTTGTTTCCTAGTTTATTTGGCTGCAGCGCCCTTTGTGGGTGAGGGGTCGGAGGGATCTCTGGTGATGAACGATGACAAGACTCTGAAGAGTCCCCGGCACATGGCGGAGGATAGTTTGGAGCTTAGTGAAGATAAGCTGTCAGATCTTATTTGAATCCACATTTTACTGACTGCCCTTATCACCAACCCTGTTTATTTAGGCAAATAGGAGAAAACCTGATCGTGCCAGGAGGGGTGAAGACCATCGAAGCGCATTCCAGAATGGTGATTCCTGGAGGAATTGATGTCCACACTCGTTTCCAGATGCCTGACCAGGGAATGACCTCTGCCGATGACTTCTTTCAGGGCACCAAGGCAGCCCTGGCCGGGGGGACCACCATGATCAGTAAGAAGCGCCAACTCTGTCACCACCCTTAGAGCCGTGAGACAGCACACGAGCCTGTGTGGTTGGGTCTCGCTTTGAGAAGCTGATGAACCGAGCAGTGGTTGGACCTACTAAATAAGGGCCTGGGTGGGCTCGCCTTTGTCTTATTTCCTTGCCCTCGTTTTCTGTGGAACTTGGTGTTCTCCAGTGAATTTGAGCATCTGGTTCTAAGGAATTTTGGTAGGAAGAGAGGAATGGCATCTTGATTTCTCTACTTGAGGACTTTTGTCTTCTTTGACCCCAAAATGTTATTTGGTTGTGAAAGTACAGCGTTTGAAGTCATCTTCAAAGCTACCTATTTTGAGCCTTCACTCATAAATATTTGATTTTGATTAAAAATAAAAAGATTCCTAAGAGTGCTTCCTCTGGGAATAAGGACAGGGTTCAGCAAATAAAATGCCCAGCCAGGAAACTTCTGTTCCACTGACGTGAAAATCAAATGCGGTAAATGCTCTTTAGCTTGGGTTGGACATAAGAATTAGGCAGCCCTGCTTGGTGGAGGAGCCACAGACTACTAACTGTCCTTTAGATATGAAAACTGCTGGTACCCACAGCCAGGTGCCCTTTGTGTTGCTCAGAGGGCTGTGATGTTTTGGTTCAGCCAAATCCAAGGTCTGTTTGCTGGACCCAGCATTGCTTGTGAACAGCCAGATTCCAAGAGGCCTTTTTGCAAATGTCATTTTTGTTTTGAGGAGGTGGGCACTCTGCCTGGTGGCCCATCAGGTACGTATTTTAGAAAAGAGATTTTTATTTTCCAAGAGTGAAGGTCAACATACTTCCTGTCTTGTATGAAAAGCTAATAGTCTGGTTCAGAAGAGGGTCCAAGTGGAAGGAACTTCACCCCCCAGAGAAGCCAGACTTGGTGTCTTTCAGTGATGATCTTTTTGACCTGTGGTTTGGAGGTCTGTCTGGATGTTTTTTTTCTGTCTTTCCTGAGCTGGAGCAGCATTGCTCTGCTGTCCCCTCCCACTTGGAATTTCCCTGCATTTTAAATTGCACGCTCACTCCCTGCTGCCCTCCCTGTCCCCGTCTTCAGCTCCGAAGCATCGGGACAGTTCTTTCCTGTTTTGCCTTCCTTCTTACCATGAGACAGCCTCCAAGGGTGAGGCTCACTATTTCTGCCTAGCTCCAGGCCTCGCCTTCTAGATTGTGGATGCCATCCTTTGGGGGTGCCCTTTGTGCACACCCCAGGACTTGGGCCAGTGCGGGAGGCTGCCGCTTGACCGAGTGGGCCTTTCCTCCCTGCCTCCAGGGTGGTCTGGAGTCCCACCTGAGCCAGGAGGAGCATAGCCCATTTCAGGGTTGGTCATCCAGGAAGGTCCATGTCAAGGTGCTCTGCCTCCCTTCTGGGTGCAGACGTTGATTACTGAGGGTCAGTAAGTAATATTTCTTGAGCGAGTGAGGGGTTGGTGACGACTGTGGTTGGAGGAGTTGTCTGGCAGGAGCCCACTGCTGTAGGGGAAATGCTCCCAACTGGAAGTCAGCAGTCTGGTTCGCATCCAGCTCTGCCCTGCTGTGTGATCTTGCACAGGTCACCTCACTTCTCTGTGTCTTAGTGACTCATCTGCCCAGTGAAGGATTTGCTGACCTGGTAGTCCTCTGCAGCTCCCCCAGTTGGTCAGGCCCTGAGCTCAGTGAGAGATTTTACCCTTAATGCACTTTTCTTGGCAGACGCCGAGGGGCCCTGTTACTTGAGAGGCCCCAGCCTCTCCTGCATTCCTGCATGTGTCTCTTCAGCCCTTGCACTTGGCCGTGCTTTGGCCCCTTGCTCTGTTTCGTTTCCCTTCCTGCCTGCCTTCCCCCGCCACAGGGGCACATCCCTTTTGGCTGCCCCCCAGCTCTTTGTGGCCTTCTCCCCCAGTGGCTGTGGGCTTCTTTCCATTCATCCAGGTGGGTTCCTTCTGGGCAGCAATGAGAGGCATCTCATTCCAGGGCGCCCGGAACAGCCGGCAGATGGCCCCATGGGCAGATGGTCAGGGGAGCGAGCAGTCCAACCGGCTGCTGGGCCTGCTTGCCGGGAATGCGAAGGCGTTGAACTCATGGCTCCAGGATCAGTCGGTTTGGCTAAGGAGTGGGGGGATTTAATGAGCGAGCCTCCAAGGACGTGATCGGAGTCGTCACGCTGAATTGAGGCAGTGTGCTCAGGGGTGTCACACCCCAAACTCCACTGCTTTTGTAGCCTGTGAGAAATATTAGCCACTCCTGCAAATCACCCCTGTGGTTGCTGACCCGTGTAGGATTCCCATCCGCCCGCCGTTCCCTCGGAGGGGAGAAGTAGCAATACAGATGAGAAAATTGGGATTTTTTTTTTAATTTTCTGCTTTCTGTTCTTGCCTTGTGCCTTACCTCAAGTCAGTGAGTGGCCGGGGCTTCCTTAATAGAGAAGGAGGCTGGCAAAGAGCACTTATTCAGCCCAGCTTGGTTGGTACGGAGAAGCTGCTTCTTCAGTGAGACCCAGCGCCTTGAATGCTTGTTGGAGCCGGGAGGAAAGGCTGGGGGAGTTTTGGACAGATTCAGGTGCGAACTCAATGTGCCCAGGGCTACTGCATAAAAAAGCAGTAGAAGGAAATTGGTTCGAAGACACCTGCACCGCCTCCTTCTCGTCTGTCTTTCTCTACGCCTTGTCACCTGCCCTGGCCAATGTGTCTTCTCCTGTCCCTTTGCTGGCTGTGTGTCTCCCAGGTCCACAGACCCTAGAGGTTCCATTTCTGACTGCCATGGCTTTACCCATGAGGAACATGAAGCCAAATGTTCCCCAAAAAAGGTGACATGTCAGCAGCAGAAAATAATATTATGGCCATCAAACAGCCTGCTACGGAGCTGCCCAGTAGGATCTTTGTGAGGGCCCCGGCGCAGGGCAGGGGAATGCCCTTCACCTTTCTGTGGGTGGGTGGAGGTCCCAGACTCAGCCTGCAGGTGTGTCCAGACTGGCCCAGGGGTCACACGGGTGGTGGGATGTTGCTTGGGGAAATGCTGTGGACCCCCCACCCCAAGGGCTTCGTGGTCATCAGAGTTGTTAGGACCTGCAGCCTCCAGGGAGCAGGTGGGAATGGCTGCTTCCATTCTGCAGAGGGGAAGACCAAGGTCAGGTGTCAGTGCATCACTTGCTGACACATTCCCTGTGCCCTGGGGAAGGTGGCAGGCGTGATGCACACCTGCAGCCCTGGCCGTGCCACTTCTGGCTCTGTCACCTTGGCCTCAGTTGCCTCATCTGTGAAATGGGGACAGTTGCCACAAAGGTGGACTGTGGCTGTGTCAGCACTTCTGTCCTGTGGGAAGCACTGAGATGCGGCAGTCACGGTCAGCCCATCCTGTGGGGACCACCAGCCCCATCTCTGTGACCTACCAGAGCCCTACTCTCCCTAGAGAGCCAGAGGAAAGCTGCCCAGGGCGTGGCCTGAGCATTTGTGTGTTGTCCGGGTGTGGGTGTGGTCAGTGCCCTGTGCCTGCATATGTCGGGTGGGTGTGTGTGTGTGTGTGTGTGTGTGTGTGTGTGTGTGTGTGAGTGATCTTAAGAGAATTTGCTCTCTGGGTCCTGCCCCACCTACTGAAGTGGCAGATCTGTCCGTGGAAACCATAAATCTCTTAATCTGGCACTTGTTCGAGGCACCCGGGACACTGTTTGAAAGGACAGTAGACCCTTGGTCAGTACAAGAAAATTTGAGTGGAGCCTCGCGGTGGCTTTCTTTTGCCTGATCTTTTCCCTGGCAGCTCTGGCCAGATCTTCCAGTTCTCTTAACAGGTGGCAGAGGGTACACACCTGTGTGGTCGTTGAATGAGATGCCATTTAGCTCAAGTCCAAAGCAATTTTGGTTATACTGTTAGCTAGAGCCTGTGCTGATGGAAAGGACAGAGAGAACGAGATCGAGTGGTCCCTGGGTGTCTGGGGAGGTGATTCCAGGAGCCCTGTGGACAACACCAAAGACTGAGGATGCTCAAGTCCCTACATAAAATGGCCTGGCAGGTGCATGGAACCTGCCCACGTCCTCCTGCATACTGAAGTCACCAGATTGTGCCTATGCCTCGGACAGGTCACACTGTGTTCTCTAGGGACTAAAGACAAGCTCAGCGCAGATGCAGTTTTTATGACTAGATTTGATCCATGTTGAGTTGAATCTTTGGACACAAAACCTACGGATGCTGAGGGCTGACTGTGGCTCTCAGGAGTCTATGCCAGATCTGTGCGCCCCGGATCTCCAAGGATTAGGAGTCACTGCTCTGAATGTCCTTTCTGTCCACCTGAACTCCAGGCTGTCCCTAGAAGTGTGGAGTCCAGGCACAGACACCCAAGGGAACTTCCTGGCCATACTGCAGGGGTGGGAGGGGTGTCTTGGTCACGATGGGGTGAAGAGGTGCTGTCACACAGGGCTGGAACTCTAGACCTGTCACTTCTCTGTGCCTCTGCCAGGTTGTGCCTTTGGTACCTTCATTCACCTGTCCCCGGGCATCCTCGTCCTCTTCTCCTATGCCTCTGTGGTGCTGCCAGCCTTCCAGTCCTGGAGGGCTGTTGCCATGTCATGCCGCTTCGACCCTTGAGCCACCCTGGAGTCTTAGCTTGTGAGTCTTGTCCCGTGTGGTCTCGAGCACCTGTTCCTTGGCACCCCCCGATTCTGCGCTTTGCCCTGCTCCTGCTCCTCGGGGGGCCTCTGTGGCTGGGCTCTTCCTCCAGCACACCTGCGCTCCTGTCCCCTCTTCCTCCGAAGCCTGCCGCGGCTCCCTCTTGCTGGGAGAATGCAGCCCAGCGTCAGAATCCTCGGGTCCAGCCGTGACTCAGGTCAGCTCGGCCAGTGCCGCCGTTGCCTTTTCTGCCCTTTCCTTGTTTCCCATGGAGCCCAGCGTGGGTGCTTCCTCTCGGGCTCCTTCTTAGCCCTCTTCCCGGTCATCTCCTGATGCCTTTGTACCTGGGTAGACTTTTATTTATTTATTTTTTAAAATATATTAGGCATTAAATGCAGGGGTGC